ATAAGACTGAGTTTGTTGTGGCTCCTCGGACTGATGAAGTCTTTTGGATTCCTTCTCTGCTCTTTGCAGATGATGTGGTCCTGTTGGAGTCATCGTGCTGTGATCTTCAGTTCTCAGCAGAGTGTGAAGCAGCTGGGATGAGAATCAGCACCTCCAAATCTGAGACCATGGACCTCAGTCAGAAAAGGGAGGATTGCTCTTTTCCGATCGAGGGTGAGGTTCTGCCTCAATTGGAGGAGTTCAAGTATCTCGGGGTTTTGTTCACTAGTGAGGGAAGAATGGAGTGTGAGATTGACAGACAGATTGCAGCGTCTGCCGTATTGCGGACTTTGTGCCGGTCCGTTGTGGTGAAGAGGGAGCTGAGCTGTAAGGCAAAGCTCTCCGTTTACCGGTCGGTCTACGTTCCTACCCTCATCTATAGTCATGAACTCTGGATAGTGACCAAAAGAGTGAGATTGTGGACACAGGCGGTTGAAATGAGTTTCCTCTGCAGGGTAGCTGGACTCTCCCTTAGAGATAAGGTGAGAAGTTCAGTTATCCAGAACCACTGCTCCTCCACATTGAGAGGAGCCAGTTGAGGTGGTTCGGGCATGTCCGACTGGGAAGAGACCCCGAGAAAAAAACAGGACAATCTGGGGAGATTATGTCTCTCGGTTGGCCTGAAACGCCTTAGAGTCCTCCCAGAAGAGCTGGTTGGCTGTGGAAAGAGACGTCTGGACCTCCCTGCTCAAGCTGCTGTCCCCGCGACCCGACTGTGGAACAACTGGAAGATAATGGATGGATGGATGCAACCCACCAGTTTTTAAAGTGTAAGATATTCTCTTACGTTGATGTCATGACTTGGATTTACTGCCATGTGATGCACACTTGCAACAGTTCTCATGAAAATGAGAATCTGTTGACTCGGCAGAGGCGGACCACTCATTCAGGCCCACATATATCAACATCATTGCTTTCTGTAACACTGCAGCCGTCAAACTGAACCACATTAAAAACTTTCGTCTTGGCTTGACTTTTGCCACCACAGCCAGGCATAACTTATGTGGTAAATGTGAAACCAGTAAAGACTGATGACTGGTACTTTGCTGTGCACAGAAACTCATCTGCACTCAGCAGATCTGCAACAGACTAAAGGAATCTGAAGTGGCCCTTGCATTTTGTAATTTATCTAAAAAAAAAAAAAAAAAGTTGCAAAAGTCAAAATAAGACCATGCATGGTGATATTCTTATTTTATTTTCTATTTCTGATGTCATAAATAATAATAATAAAAAAAAATCACAATTCAAAAAACTTATCAAAACCACTTTAGATGTGCTCTATGCAGTTTTGAGTCCTACCCTACCAGATATGACATCACTCTATAAATAACCATTATTTGCAGAGCATTAGTTTTACAAAGTACCACATAGCAACTTTGCAATAAATAGATTAAAACTCAAAAAAGATGAAGCGAGTGATGATGTAAAGAATTTCACATGACACACACGTCCCCACAAAGGTCATATCTCTCACAGATCTGAAGGGCTCAGAGCTTCCAGGAAGTAAAGACAAACTCACTTGCTCGAAAGAGCATTTGCTCAAAAGCGCATGGGATGTCACGGACGTCAGGGCTCTCTGGGTTCCAACGCTCCTCTCCATCATGATCGACACTAGCAGAACCAGCATGGCTCCACCACCCGTGCCTTCACGGCTCCAGAAGCCCCAACCAATCCTCATCCCGGCTTCCCACCTTCCATCAGAAGGCCACAGCAAGCCTCTCGTCCACTTTTTGGTCGGCGTAGTGTTGCTGCACTTCGCGTTGTCTGTTGGAGGGTTCCTTTTTCTGTACTACAAAGAAGAGCCATATTCATATGTAAGTACACCTTTAACCGTTATTTTGCTTTGCGATGCAGCATTAAACAGCAAAATATGTTTAAAATGCAACATATATCAATTTGAATTCATCGTCTCAAATTTAACATTTTGAAAAAATCCAAACTGCTAAATAATTAAAGGTAAAGTTTTGTAAGAAAACGTCTTCGTTATATTGTGTTTCTGATGTTCTACATTTTTATTTCTACAGCAAAAGCTTCCCTCGTTTCAAGGAAGAGGTAACTTCACCGATTGGATTTGAATTCAAATTTCCTGCAGAAATAAAAGTCAACTTCATGAGAACATTTTGCGTTTTGTTTCCAGTTGGTTTCTCCTCCGCAGAAAAGCAAGAAGACGCCTACAAAGCCTGGGCACGCATGGTAGTCGAGCGGCAGTTGCTCTCTAATCAAATATCATGTAAGAAATGTATTTCTTTAATTGATTAAATTAGATAAAAGAAGTTCTGAACATTTGCTTTAAGTCACTGCTTGGACTTTTTCTCCTCAGCCTCTTCAGCTGGTTACCTTCGGTGGGACATACAGCACTCGGTTCGAAAGAGTGTCAGCCATTTTCACAGCACCTGGCTCACCATCCTGGAGCCCGGCGATTACTTCGTCTACTCCAGGGTGACCTTCTCCAAAGACCACCCGAAGCTCCCGCTGGCCAGCAGGGTCATGATGAGGAAGACGGAGAAGGCAGAGGAGCAGGTGGTAATGAAGGCCTACTGCAGCCTGAGCAGCAACTCGTCCAACCCGAACATGTGCACGGCCACACAGCAGGATCTGATCACGCTGGAGAAGGGGAACCAGCTCAGCATCTGGGTGCAGGTCCTCTCACTCGTGGATTATGAGGAGGGTGCAACCGCCTTTGGGATTTACAAACTGTAGTTGTGCGTGAGCAGCGTGCATGGACCTAAACTCAAAAGACTGGAAGCTCAAAGAGGACACACCTGGATTTAACTAATGAGAAACTTTTTTTTTTTTTTAAAGGAAAACATCTCAGTGGTACCGAGACAAAAAGCGCATTTCAAACTATAATTTATTAAATAACAAATGCGTATTTCTTTGTTTTGTGATTGTTCTATATTTATTACTCTAGAATAGATTGTATGTTTGTATTTTTTTTAAATAAGATAATAGTTGTTCCCCAAGCTTTTTCTATTTGATTAACCTTGAAGAAGGGGAAATACCTAACTTTGTCATTGTTAAAGCTAATTACAGCTTTTAAAAAAATAATAATTTTCAGCATAAACTTTGTTCAGTTCCTTCAAAAAAAAAGGTTCAAGATAAAAACAACTGGACTTTATTTGTAACAGAAGACGTTTCGCTTCTCATCCGAGGAGCTTTTTCAATTCCAAGAAGAGAAAGTGTGTGGTTCGAGTTATACGCTAGATACATATGCAGATTGCCCTTTCACTCCTCACAATAGGGGTTCCGTCTTCTGTTACAAATAAAGTCCAGTGGGTTTTTTCTATAAATTTAATTTTACATATTAAGAGTGAAATTAGAGAGGTTAGCGTTTTCATTTCCCTATTCCCCTTTAAATGATTATTTGTAAAAATAATTTTCTCTTTAAGCAGCCTAACCACATTACTTTCCTTTTTTCTCACGCTCACATCGTTTCGCTTTTTATTTCTGAATACACATAAATCCAGTTCTAATGAGCATTACCTGGTGATGATGTGGCTAATTATAAATCTCAAACCAGGCTTGTAAAAGCCACTTAAATCCCATAAAAATGGACATAGTTTAAATTCATAGTAAGTAAATACTGATTATTTTGTTTAGGGACGAGTAATTTCAGGTTTAACAGCACCATCTTATGCAACCCAAAGCCAACAGGAGCAACATTCAGTAAACGAGTCTTAAGTTGGCACCTCAGAGACACTTCACATGGAAAGTGTGAATCTCTCCGGAGGTGTGTGCGTGTGCAGAGCACCCTCACAGGATGTCGTCTACATTGTCACTCCTTCCATCGTGTTCAGAGTTTCCTGATCGCGAGCAACCTACAAAGTCCTGCCAGCACACGAGCTGAAAGCAGCGTGGCAAGGCAGGACTTAGAGGATTTCCAGAGACACTGCAGCATTTTGTTTCCACGCCATACGATACTGAAGTGTACTTATTATATTAAACTTTTAATAAAAGAACCAAACCAAATGGAAAGTACAGAATATTTAGAGGGGACATTACAATACTTGCAACAATAATTGCATAGAATAACTCTTAAAAAACACTAAAAACAGAGAACAGTGCAGTGGAAAATTGAATTTCTGATGAAATCGAGTTCAATCCCTTCTCAGTAGTGAAGCGCTCACTGAGGAGGAATTTAAAATGACAGTGGTGCTTGATGAAGTTTTTTACAGGAGCAACAGCCACAATGTTAATCACAGCAATAAACAAGGGATGAATGTTGAGACGGAGTCTGAAGAGTTTTTAAAAGCGTGCTTGTGACGCCTCTGCACATGAACCAGCTGCATCATACACCGCACCGAGTAGAGCTGTGTGCGAAAACACAACTACCCACAAAAGTACAGTTTCATAAATAATTTTAGATCATTTGAGTGTGTGTGTGGGGGGGATTAAACAACAGGTCACGTTATTACCAAGAAAGTGGATTTAGCCAGACAGGCTGGACCATAAAGTTGGACCCTTTGTTTTGTTTTTGGGTAATACATTTTAATCGTTATTGCAAGTCCTCCAGATCTGAACCTGGTTAACATGGAGGCCGGTCAGTAAAGCCGTCGCTTATTGCATTTCATGAACGGTCACTGCTTCGTTGCAGCGCAGCAAAACAAGATAAGAGCATCGACGGTGCACGCAGTCAACATGGGGAGGAAATGGACAGCTGTGGGTCGTCGCTGTGAGACCACATCTTAAATAGAAAACAAAACGCCATTTGTTTTCACACTAAAACACTATTTATACTCATCCGTCATTTGGACCAACTCATAATGTGTCACTTATGACACATCGAAAAAAAATTCTATTTCTATTTTTTATTTTTAAACATAATTAGCCCCAGACCATCTTAAACTCCATTTTTGGTTTCTGGAGCCCTTCAGGAGGCACTTGAACATTTGACAAACTCCACACGTTCCTTTCCCTGCGTCTGCACAACACTCAACCATCTCAACTCTCATATTATAAATCAATAATTCAGACTTTCAACTTTGTGGAAAGGTTATGAACAATAAATATCTTACTTGTTTAAGATGGCTCTTTGAACAACCTCAGTTGAGAGAAATGCCTTCATTCTGACCTGACTGATGAGTAATTAGTAATTAACAGAAACATTGTTTTGAAACGACTTCAGTCTGAAACATCTCATTGTTTCATACGAGTTATTTTATACAGCACTGTAATTTTTGCACATTAAAGTTATTCATAAAGAATTATATGGTAATTTACAAGCTTAAATAGCAGCAGCAGATAGCTGTAGCACTTACAATGCAGGTTGGGACACTTCTCACAGAAATATGTTTCTGGTAAAATAACCACATTATTCAGAGGGTCTCAAAGTTTGTGCTACAGCCCAGTTTGGACCAAATATCCCCTCTCCAGTTTAACTAATCAAACAAAAAATTACTAAAAATAAAATTAAATAACCTACAAGCTTCATACAGTCATTGTTTCCCTCTGGGAATTACAGTAGTCCCTCGCTACTTCGCTTCGTTTGTTTTTAGCGGGCTCGCTGTACCGCGATTTTTCAAAATAAGAGTGGATACGATGCACAATTGGCTGACTGTTGGATGACCCGCACGATCGGCAAGGATTTTTTTTTTTATTTAAAATTAATTTGAAATTATTTAGCCCCTGCTGCACCTGTGTGCAGCCCACAACTGCAGGAGCTCCACTCTGCAGCAGAGAAGTGGGCGTGGCCGAGAGCACTGGCAGAGTGCAGCAGGAGGCAGAGAGCTGAGATCATGACATGCTGTGCTCTTTAAGAGCGTTTAGAAAATTGTTAGGGACATTGCAAGACTGTGGTAAGGGTTTAAAATGTCTTTGCGATATACATATATATATACATATATATATATATATATATATATACACATATATACATATATATACATATACATATATATATACATATATATATACATATACATATATATATACATATATATATATACATATACATATATATATACATATATATATATACATATACATATATATATA